TATTGTAAGCAACTGTAATTTATGTAATTAACTGAATTATCTATATCTATTTTGTTTATTTCTTGAATTTGTCTATTTAATTATAGTGTATTTACCTGATTTTCATGCTTATTCTTTGTTGAACCACATATATTCTTTCCTTTGTTTTTCTCTTTTTCTTTACTACCCAGTCTTATTTCTCTCCCTTCTCCCCAATTTATCTTGACTAAATATTCATTCCTTTGCAGCCTTTGACAAGCACATGAATGTTATCCTTGCCGACTGTGAGGAATTCCGCTGTGTACGTGGAAAGAAAAACAAGGAGGAGAAGCAGGAGAAGAGAACGATGGGCTTGGTACTCTTGCGTGGTGAGACTATCGTAACCATGACCCTGGAAGGACCCCCTCCCTCCGAGGTTAGTTTCAATACAAATTCCCAGATCACCAGCTCTATGGAATGGGGTGAAGAGAGAGAATTGTAGAGGTGTAAATAGAAAGATTCCCTTAACCCCCAAGAACCCCAAAGCCTCTTGCTTGTCTGACCCTCCAGCCTCTTAGAAGGCCTAGATATTCAAAGTTTAGAAAGGCAACTCATACATTCCTGACATTTTGTTATCAAGTACAGACAGGAAAAAGCCTGCCAGTTTTTGACAAGCCTCCTATGGGCATGGTATAAAGAATTTAAGGGGGTATTTGCATGTCAGTTTAATATAGAATTATTGAAACCAGCAGCCTATTTTTTCAGCTCTTATTAAGGTGCAAATGAAAATGTAGTGGCAGTCAACTTTTACGTTTGGCATCCTTCTGCTTTAGGCCACAGTCACTCATAAGCCCATTCCTATACCCTTCTCCAGAGTGTTTGGGTGGCTTCTCCCAACAAATCCACCCTCTAGTCACTAGAAAAAATAATACCCACTATCCCATCACCTCCTAGTCTTTCGACTAATTATGTTATGTATAATTAAATACATAATTGATTACTGTATGAAATATGGAGAAAGTGTATTTTATTGTATTGCCTGATTAATTTACATGGTCTACTAAGATTTTCCAGTCTCTTGTTTGCCCCTGATACTCCTCATTTCAGTAATTGTTTGACATACCAGCTTGAGATATGTATTTTCTGGTTTGTGAAATTGAGCTCTTCAAATAATGAAAGCCAATTTTGCCTCAGGTATGTATATCGGGGGGGAGAGGGGCGAGGGGAAAATTGTCTCTACTTCAGATTTTGGGATTTTGTGGGCAACCTTGAAATTATTGCTATCACAGCAGCAAGTGTGCTCTTGTCATTTCCCACTGCTTTTGGATTATGAGGAAGAACAGTAAACTCACTCAGTAAACTAATTGTGTTTTGTGAATATAAATTTCTCGCACTTGCCTTTTTTAATATCTATTCTTCATTTCCTTTCTTTTCTGTGGCATGCAGATTAGAAGAGACAGTCTCTCTTGTATGTAAACCAAGAAACAAAGATATTAATCCAAAATATGGTAGAAAGCAAAATTACCTCTGGCTCACAATTGTACGTTCAAAAATAGTGTTACCATTGATATTGTCTCACAAGTTCTCCTTACTCCAAGTAACTGTATATAGCAGAGAGTCTTTTCAACCAAAGAAGCTTTTCCTAATTTTCTTATAGCTAGGACAGCTTCTTGTGCTTGGCATGAGACTGTGTACATCCATCTCAGTTGCAAGATCAGCAGAACTAGGTTGTTGTATTACCAAATGGATTTTATTCTATGAGGCCTGTTGATGTGATTATTGCCAGAATGGGAGAAGCAACTTGGTAAATGACATTGAAAATTGAATAATCTGGAACAACTTCTTTAGGAGTCGTAGAACAAAACTAAGAATGAATTTTAGATCATTATATAGAATACAGAAATACTGATTATGTAATAATCAATTGCTGGATATATCTAGAGGAATTGCAGTGGGTATCAACAGAAGGTTAGCAAAACATGCATTTTGCCTTTGTATAGTGATTTTTCATTAAATGTGTGTTTGACAACAGTTATGATAAGAAAATATATAGGTTAGTAGTTGACAGTCATGATATTTTAGAGGCCATTAAAAGATTTGAGTACTTGTAAAAGTTTTATAACTATCTTTATTGACATTATTATTTTTTTAATGGTAGTATTATGGCTATAATAAATGCTTGACAATTGCTTGACAATTTGCTTTATAATAATAACAGATCCTCAGAAGCTAATGATTAATTGAATATTTCTCGCATCTGTTTACCAGTACTTGACTACAGATTCTCTTAATGCTATTGCAGCACTTGCACTTAGTTATATTTCTTTCATTATACTTGTGCAGTTGGTCATCTCTGTCCTCTTTTTCTCCCCTAGGATGGCCCTCGTGTCAATCTCCCTGGCTCTGCCCCCGGCCCAGGCGTTGGCCGCCCAGCTGGACGTGGCATGCCTGGTCCCGGAGGTGCAGGACTGCAAGGTCCTGTACGCGGTGTGGGAGGACCCTCACAACAGATGATGCAGCCAGCAGCGCGTGCCGGCCCACAGCTCAACATGCCCCCCAGAGGACCCCCTGGTGGCATGCCCCCTCACATGATGGGTGGGATGCCCCCACACATGGGTCGTGGTGGGCCCATGGGACCCCCAAGTGGACCGATGATGAGAGGAGGTAATGTTACTTAAAAACTTCCAACAGTATTACATGAAGGATATATGCTAGATGGTGTTCTTCAACCCATTTGATGCCAGGAATATGTCTACTATGGTTTTGTTTTTGTTTATGGCTCATGTCATGGCTGATTTGGTCATGGTTCATTTCATGGCTTACGTCATGGCTTACTTGTCATTTTACATGTTACAATGACGTGTGCATTGTATTTTATGCTGCTTTATAAGGAATCCTTATGCCCACACCACATACCATGTTGCATTGCCTGTGGGAGAAGGGGATATGTAATGCTATGATGGGCTTTTCTTTTGTATATATACCTTCCATGCCTGGAACATGTCATGCACCAAACATGGCACTCTCTTGCTGTTGATGTGGACCTATAAGTAACTTTAACTCTTGTTCATGAGTTCTGGCTCCCTATGTCAATTACTCGCATTGTCTTTTGACACTGCCAGTGTGACTGTTTTAAAGTATGACACATAAGTGAAGTATTGAAGCTGTGCTGGCAGCAGCCAATATCACTGCATATAACCTTTTATTTCTTAAAAATATTATTTTTACCCATTAATAAAACCATATTCTATTTTGTTCATAGAGCTTATATATTGAAATGGAGTCTAATGTATATAATCAAGCTACTACAGGTTTAATATAGCAGCAAAAATGCGTATCATGTATTTCTGTATATGCTAAACAGCACTTTTGTTAGTGTGGCATAGCCTGTGCTATGCACCAGCTGTGTCTGGAAGAGGCCCCAGAGTTCAGCCCAGTCAATCATGCATACTCTCGGGGCCAAGTGAACCTCAATCTGGTTGAGAAGTTTGTGATAAAGCCAACAAATTCCACATGGCATATATATTTTTCCTCTTTTTTGTTCTCCTATTTCTTTAATGGAAGTGGACACCTATGAGCTTGATTTGCGAATAATAGGACAATTTAGGTAATTATAATGATAATTACCACCAGTGTTCAATTCATATTATTACTTAAACTGTAAAAGAGAGAAAAACACAATGCTGCTCTTTAACCCATTGGATGACGTTGCGGTCACATGGAAAAAATAAAGCCGAGGGGTGGATGACATGAACATGCTGTCAATCAGGCAAATTGAGGAACTGCCTTCATGAGCAAAGGCCAGGGTGACAGAAAAGACTTGCCAACAGTGCACAAGCCTCTTGGACTCTGATTTGCCTCATTTGGCACTTAGAAGAGGGCTTTATCATTATTTCCATCGATAAACGAATGTGGAATGTAACGTGCATAACCAGTGGCTGGAAGGGTGCTGGTTCCAGGGAGGACACCATTTCCATGTTGCGCACCGTGTTCCTGGCCACTGTGACTGGCGGCGCAGGTTGTATTTCGTAAGAATAAAAATTATAAAAGAATGAGATATATGACACAAGTAACCAAATATTCCATATTTTTTTTCTTGCACTGAGTTATTTACTACATGGAGAGATGATATGGAGTCGGTGCAAGGGATGTCACCGTTCATGGTTGTTTGTGCATTGGCCATTTGCGTAAACTATTGCCCAGGTTTTCAGCTCCATGCTTTCCTTGATGCAACTGCATCAATTTTTAGAGCTAAAATTCATTGATATAGTTTTGACACCATCCACAATGGGGTATTAACCCTTCAGTGTCGAGTACATCCATAGCCATCATGACATAATGGCAGATGATGTATATACACGTCATGACTCGCAAGGGTTGTGCCAACTGTACACAGCTTAGGTCTAGCCACAAAGTCTAAACTGTTGTGTATTATTACATCACAAAGGATTCAGGTCTCTTCATCATAGGGTTAAGTACATTATATTATGGATATTAGTAATAATTAGTAGGTATGGTCCCAAGTGGTGATGACTATGGCAACTAGATGACAGCTTCATTGCAGAAAATTTTTGCAATTCACTCTTATGTATCATTCAAGATTTTTGTAGGAAAAGTTTTTCTTTTAAAAATTGTGTAACAGAAAAGAGCCTTGATAAGAATTCAAAGCAAAAATATTGTTTTGAATGTGCATATTTTGCATTCATTCATAGGAAAATGTTTAAAGTTATCAGAGCTTATAGAGAACACATTGGCAGGAACCTTTTTGTGCATACTTGGTAGTTGTCCACACACTGCAAATGTTGATGATTCCCAAGAATGATTTTATATTTTGCTGGCCCACAGAGAAAGTCTTACTAAAGATGTTTCTTGCAAGTGACTGATTTACAGTAATAAATGTAAAAATGTTTATCTGTTTCAGTTATTGAGTTTTATTTCAGGCAGAGAGATGAATTCAGAACATAATTTTAGAAATGCTTTAGTAAAGTTAATAAATTTATTTATTCATTTTTTACCTCCTCCTCTTTCTTTTCCTCTTTTTC